TAAAGGAGGAGTAAGTCCAAGTGGACTTAGTGAGGAATACAAGGGAAAAATAGTCGAATCAAATAATAATCACAATATAAGTGTTCAAGGAATTGGGGATGGAATTGGAATTGGAATTGGAATTGGAATTGGAATTGGAATTGGTCCATCTAGAGAATGATCGTTCGATAAGGGACAATAGGCCAAAATATAAGGCATGTCAGTATGATCAGAATAAACAATACAATCAATATGTACAGGTAAAGAACAATATTCAACGGGTAATTCCCGGCGTGGAGATTCCCACGATAACAATTTCAGATATCAAATATGAGACCATGGAGATTCCCATGGTAACAATTTGTTCATGTACCTGTACCTGCCTTGTGACTCCCTTAGCCGTTACTACCTTATACACCGATCAGGGAGCTACCCTGCTAATCAATCAATAGGCATGCCCGGGCGCATGCCGATTCAGCCATCAGCACAGTTAACCTCCAACTATGCCAATGGTCTGAATCCAATATGGGTACTGTCGAAGAGACCATCCACCGTCGGCCCAATACCGCCCAGCAGTCTTTTTCGAACAGCCCCGGGCCCAACTGTTCAATTATCCTTAAGGCGTCCCCAAAGGAATCAATAATATAGAGATACGGATATGCTTCCGACTATCTCAATTTACATTTTGAATCCCAATAATGAATTCCACTTTGGAAAGAGTCGATATCATAGTTCAATAAGTTTTGGGATTTCAATAACAAGTGACAATAATATGTGGTCACGAATTCACAAGTCAAGAAAGGTACGATCAATGGTTTCAATAAGAGAGTGACCACAATTCAAGATCGTATAACAATTGATGAAGATGGATCTCAATCAACAATAGTATACGGTTAAAATTTAAGCCGTAGTTGAATAGCTTGAAAGACAAGTGGTTTCAAATGATCAATAGAAGTGAAGATATGAACGATCCATCAATTCACCGTAGGTACGAAACGAACGATTTAATGGATAAACAGAATAATCCTAAATGGTCCAAGAGTCGGGAAAAGAACGATTTACGTTTATTGAACCACTGTAGAATAGAAGTGGTTCCAACTAGTATACAAGTAAAGATGTGAAACAATTCCGAATTGATAGAGAAACGAATTGAAACTCGTTGAATTATTCAAGTCGATAAAAGAACTGAATTGAGTAATCAAGGAATCGGGATGAGAAATTACTCGAATAATTCCCGAATCAAGATGAGAACTTATTAAGTCCACGAAAAGGATTCGAAACAATCAAAGATTGCAATAGCTCAAGAATCAACAATTCTCGGAAATCAAATTGATTCACAAGATAGGTGACAATAAATATATATTGAATTTAGACGACGAATAATAACAATAATAAACCGAACGATACGAGTGCTCGGCATATATCCTATTTTTCCATAAAGAATAGGCAAGGGATAGGGATCCTCACCTGAAGTCCAATGCAAGTGTTATAAAAACACCTTACTCTCGAGTCATGCTCTTGAATGAGAACCTTAGAACGCTCGATACCTATAAAAATATTCATCACTTAACAACATTCTAAATGCTAATATAACCGTATTATTCCACTATACCACATACTCAATTTCTTGAAACATTTATTAAGAATGTCTTGCTGCCACAGCTTATTTGAACAATCGTTACGATCACCTTACTTATCCGAATAACCTAAACGATATATCGAATTAAAGCTAACATCAGTGTCTACAGGTTTACTGAAGACCCTGAGCCCAAATTGTTAACCTAACACAGCAATAACAGCCCCGGAAGATGAGTACATGAAACTGCCAGGTTTTTGGAAAATTCGTTGTTGGCACAGTTTGTTTGAAAAATCATAACAATTAGCACGTTAATCCAAATTGATCACATGATACGTCAAATGAAAGCTAACAGAAAATCCTACGAGTTCACAAAAGGCTTTAGTCCCAAATTCGGAACCGAAAATAGCAGAAACAGCCTCAAACCAGCATTACAGAACTGCCGGGATTTTGGAAAGATTATTTCTGGTACAGCTTATTGTAAAATTTATAACTATTTGTAAAATTATCCAAATTGTCCAAATAATACACCAAATTGAACCTTACAATGTAAACTACAAGTTCTCAGAAGATACATAGCCTAGATTATTAGCTCAACATAACATAAACAGCCCCGTAAAACGAATACTCAAAACTGCCGTGTTTTGACAGATTTACCGTCACTTAATTCGGACCTCTAATCAGCTTCAAAACATACTCTAACTCGATACAATTTTACACTTACCAATAGTTTTCGAGGTCCTCTACGAGTTTTGTGAAGGAATGATTCCCAAATTCTCACTCCAAACCCTTCGATTTCGGCTTCATAAACAGGTGCGGCAGCAAATACTATTTCCTTCAAGGTTCCGGCGAGCGGGCTGAACTTCTTGCCCAATTCCGGCAACCACCGCTGATTAATACTACCGAGCTCCAACACCAATGGAAGGCTAACATCTCAAGGTTTCTAACCGTGTGTCCTGATCGTCAATATTCAACCTCTAAGGCCTCCGAGCAATTAATTCTTCGAAGGACCAAAAGCTGAAATCCGATTCTAAGACAGCTTGTCTTCTTCGTCGGATTCCGGCCACCACCGCCAATCATCTGATGCGACCACCACCGGAGGCGATCTGATCATAATAGCCCCTTGATAGAGCCTCCTTCACGCAGCCCTAATTCTGCCAATACTTCGAATTGGGGATTTGAAATTCCAACCTCAAATTTGTTTCATATACCTCACTTCTTCAAACCCCTTCTTGAATTCGAATTTTCTTCAATTAATTTCTCGAATTCAGCCAAGAACCGAGAGAGAAAAGAAGAGAGTAGGCGAGAGAGAAAGAGAGGGGATAGAGAAAGAGAGAAGACGAGAGACGTATTTATCGGGGATTACCAAGTCATAAGCTTGATTGCCAAGTTTATAAAAATATTTATTATACTTATCCCCCAGTCATAAACTTGGCTGCCAAGTTTTATAATTAGAATTATTATGCTTATGCCCCAAAATTATCATATAATAACACATCAGCCCCAAATCTCATTATTAAGTACAATAATCTCTTAAAGGAAACCCATAAGCATAAATTATGGGGTGTTACATATATATTCCCAATATGCATATGGATATTTATTTTTATATGGATATTTTACCACAATATAGATTTTATTTCCTTTATAGTAATTAATATTGATGTAATCTTTTATATTTATGTAGGTGATCTATAATTAATATAGATTAGGCATATAAATATATGTCTAATCGAAATTTATGCATTTTATTTATAGGAAATTGCTTAATTTTAGATCATTACATGGAATATGAATATTTATTAACTATAATTTACTCTAATTTAGGTACTATTAGATATAAATGTATTCCATTTACTATAATTACATAACTAAAATTTAAGAACTACAATTTTATTACCATGATTTTATTTCATTTACTATGATTTAGGAACTATTCAATCTCATCATATTATATATACACGGTTCATTTCATTGTTACTCTAAACTGCAGGATAATATTGTTCTCTCGATACTTCATAAGCCGACCACCGTTCTCTTTTTGTGAATCGTGAGTATAATATTATTTTAGAATAATCTTTACTTTTTTTGTTTTCCTTTTCTTTCACGATACCCGAGTATATGAATTAATGTACCTACCTTTCTCATATAGATTATATATTATACTTTATTCATATTAAGAAATATATATAATTCAAGATTTGTAATCGTATATTCATCTTTTATTGTGTGACTTAATTGACTAACAAATTTTTGAGTACGTGTATTAAACACATATAGATGTCATAGCAAGTAGATCTCATTAGAAACTGGAGGGTGAAAAAAAGTCATGGAATCTTAAAATCCGTGTTTTGCACATTTAATTTGGAAACAACCAAATTATATATATATATATATATATATATATATATATATATATATATATATATTGATTCTATTACTTTAACAGATTCTTTTGTTTAAATATACGTCATATATATTGTGACTATTTTTGTAATATATTATAATTGTTTTATCGTTTCTACATATTTATTTAGTTTATTTTATGGCTATTCATTTTCGTGTGGATGCGCACAATTATGTTAATGATATACAAAGCTCTTTCAACATGATAGATAAAACAATAAAAAAAATGGAAATTATTTGTAAATCGATGCAACTCATATTATTAATAATAAAACTTTAAGGAGGGCGAAGACATATCACATATTGTTGGAAAGGCTGGGCCGTGGCACACCTTAAGTACATCATCTCATTGGTTAAAAAAAAGAATACGTGTTGCCGCAAACCATGTTATGTGCGTAACAAAACTCTGTCCAACCCTTAGTCAACAACAAATACAGTTTTCCATGTTTTTGTCGAGAAGATACCGCAACTTGAAAATGATTTTCCTCCTCGTATCGAATATTGATAGTAGACAATCATGTCAACCGAGAAGCTTCAACAAAAGCAATCATTAAAGGCATATAGAATTGAATGAAGAAATCAAACACAAAATAAAGCAATAATTCATTGTTATACTAAAAAAGAGACTATAATTAACATACCATTGCATGTAGGTGATACCAATGCAATTCATTTTCAAGAATTCCCTCCATATCTCCAAAAATAGAAAAAAAAAAAGTATGTGGAAAAGTTGAAGAATGTTAATGTATTGAATGTTAATTTATAGTAGAGTTAGGGAATGTAATAAAGGTAACAAATAAGTAATTAATTTAAATTGATGTAATTACCTAATTTATCTAAATTACTTTAAAAATAATAATATATGATATATATGGTGGAACATAATTGCATTTCAGTCCCACGTTTTTTTTAATGAAAATATTGTTTATAAAAAAAATAAAACTGTTTAACCAATAAAAAGATACTATTTTGACACGTAGGAGAGATAAAATTTGAAAACCAATAATGTTGAATTATTTCATTAACAATATGGGTGATTCTTGTAAGTGGGTTTTTTGGGAATTAGTATAATATATTGCATAAAATTTAATCAATTGTAAAATTAAAAAAAAAATGCATTTACGTCCTACACTTTTTCAATCAATATATTGTTTATAAAAAAAAAACTCATTAACCAATAAAAAGACATTATTTTGTCATATAGGATAGAAGAAATTTGAAAATTGGGTTTTTTTGACAATTAATATAATATTGGGCACCCAAATTAAGTGGAATGTACATTTATATATTTACGTTTTTAATATGAAGCAATTGATTAAAAAGCTAAACTAAATAGCCAATAAAAAGACGTCATTTTGACATGCAGGAGAGATAAAATTTAAAAATCAATAATGTGAAATTAATTCATTAATAATATGGCTGAATATGGTAAGTGGGGTTATTTTGAAATTAATAATAATATGTGATATATGTGGTGGAACATAATTGCATTTCAGTCGCACGTTTTTTTAATGAAAGATATTGTTTATACAAAAAAAATCATTAACCAATAAAAAGACACTATTTTGACACGTAGGAGGGATAAAATTTGAAAACCAATAATATGGAATTATTTCATTAACAATATGGGTGATTCTTGTAAGTGGGTTTTTTTTGCAATTAATATAATATTGTGCATAAAATCTCCTCAATTGTAGATTTAAAAAATTGCATTTAAGTCCTACGTTCTTTTTTAAATCAAAATATTGTTTATAAAAAAAGAAACTCATTAACCAATAAAAAGACACTA